CCCCCCCCCCCCCCTTTTTTTTTTGAGCGCCAAGCGAACCCTTTCGCGGGGTGGGGGGTTGTACCATACAGTTCTGTGTGGTAATAGTACTACCCTTGAAAAACCACAAGGCCTCCATGAAGGCCACGGCTAGGCGTTTGGTTGCGTAATACAACAGAAAGTACGTTCAAGACTCAACCCAAGAACACCATACCACACAGAAGGACGTTAACTGATGATTGCATCCTTTTCTTGTTGCTTAGCTCAGGAAGTGCCTCGCTGTTTTGTGTCCGGCTTGAGGGATAAAAACCTACACACGTCGTTGCTGCCCCCAGGCCCGCTGGTAGATGCCCACGTGAACCACAAGGGGGTCGTCTGGACTCTGTGGGACCGGCCCCGGGGAGGCGGCGGGGTTTCCAGTGGATACGGAGGCGTGTCGAGTTACGGGGAGAACGGGACGTTCGACTCCGTTCACCACCAGACGGTCGACGAGGTACTTCAAGAACGTTTTTTTTGTTGCGGTTGGAGTCGCTTTTTGCGACTTGAGCGTGTTCTTTTCGGCACAGGCGTGTTTCTTTCCCCGCTCTCCCTGCCGCAGGCGTTCGGGGCTCCTTGGCTCCTTGCTATTAACCGGTAAGGATGGGATTTTGGTAGTCAGGGTTTGGTTGCGTGACCGGCGGCATCCGGGATGCATGCGATGGATGCATCTGTCCTTGCATACGCCGTCATTCGTCTGCACCGTGTGTATTTGCGATGGACCATTCTAGACTCACTGGGACATACTCTCGTGGTTTTCACAACCTGTTAGCGTGTTGTTGGCGTACGGGATTGGCACCGCACTCACCCTTCACCCCAAACCCCCTCCTTCTACCTTGTCTGTCTATGTCCCTCTCAATCTACCGTCCCCCGATGCCTCTCCGTTGTTGTGCAGTGGCTGGGTTCTCAACAGGAGGAGGACGCGGTTCTCGACGAGCTGTTCAGGAGCAAGGGGGGGTGGCCCGGGTTGGTGGCCCTGCGGTGCCCCCCGCAGGGGGGTGGGGAGGGGGGCACGAGAGCGGTGGCGTTCGCCTCGGTGGAGTTGATGGAGAGCTTTTACCTGCGAAGGATGTTTACGGCGGGGAGGTTTGGGAGGCGCGTCCTGGCGTCTGCGATTCGGGAGGCGGTGGGTGTTTTTTTCACGTGCCTTTCCAGCAAAACGATGTGATTTTACGTGAGATTCTGCAACTCTCCGGGTTCATGTGCGCCCTATGTACGGAAGGGTAGCGGTTGGCGCTAAGGATGTTGACCCATGCTTCAGTATCGTGTGTTGAGGCCATCAGTGTCGGTGTTCACCCAACAGAGGTGCGGTACATGACGGCTCGACGCCCATGAGGCAGTCGAAGTCCTTCGCAGCCCCCGCTCTGCCCCCCCCCATCTCGTACCCGCTTTCACTTAGTGTTCTTTTCCGTCTCTGTCGTTAGCCGCGTGGGACGCTGCTACTGCGTCGGTTGTTGCTGTTGTTGCTGTTGTCGCTGTTGCTGTCATTGGGCTGGCGGTTAGCGACAACAGTTACCCGTTTCCAAGACACCTCGTGTCGGCAAGCGAATCACATCGCCCGCCCCGATTTACAACCCCCTCCCCCACCATGCGCGCGCCACTTTTTTCATTTTCACCCTGGGGATCCGGGTTTGTGCTACTGCTGCTGTTGCTGCTGCTGCTGCTGTTGCTGCTTTTCATGGGGGTGCGTGTGCGCCAGGTTCCGTTGATGTCCAACGCCGGGCCGCTCTCCTCCAACTCCACATCGCTGCAAGACTTGCAAAACCTGGTACGATGCCTCCCCCCCCCCTCCCTGGGTGCAACATGCCTGATATAAGATGTTATACAAGATGGTTGTCAGACAAAGGCCGCCGTAAACTCGGGAGACGGATGATGTGGTCACAAGACGCCGAGGTGGAAAGGGTTGACAAAAATCAAAAGAGTGACAACCTTATCAAGACCACCCGACAGCTGTCGACGGCGTCTGTAGGAAGAGTGGGAGTAGGAACGGTTCCCGGGACGGCTCTCGGTCCAGAGAGGGGGATTCGTGGCTAATGGTCAAATGGCTGAAGCAAGCAGCAAGACAAGTGTGGTTCTCCGCCGTATGCCCGCGTCCCTCCCATGTGTTGCGAATTGTCTTGCAGAGAGGGGCGGCGTGACCAGATAGTCGCTGCTGGGCCACCCGATAGGAACAGAAGCCGCAACCCCTCGAGCGCGTAAGATATTGTTGGCCGGTGACACGTCCTGCTGCACCACCACCACCATCGACAACTCAACGACAACAACAACAGCAACACCAAACAACAGAGCGGCAACAACAAAAGTTAACGATGACAACAACGTTCACAGGCTTTGGAGGGAGTCCGCAGTGCCGCCGAGCAAGCTTGCAGGACGCTCGATGAGGAGGAGGATAAGGACGACCCGCTCGCCATGTCTCTGACGGCTCAGGTAGGGACGTGATGGCTCTGCTGCCTTTGAGCTTTAGTTTTCCGTTCCACCCTCGTTTCGTGGATGACGTGTGGATGACTTGTGTGGCCCGTGTTGATGCTGATTTGTTTGTTTCGGGCGTCCCCTGTTGTGTGTTGTTGGCGTTAGTGTTTTGTTGCCTGTGTTGTTGCTTTTTTCTTTTATGCGCGTTGCTGCTGCTGCTGCTGCTGCTGCTGCTGCTGCTGCTGTTGACGTGCTTGATGTAGTTGCTTGTGTGGTTGCTTTTTTTTTGAGCGGTTGCCGCTGCTGCTGCTGCTGCTGCTGACGCAGATGCTTTGTTGCCTAACCTATCGTCGGCACGACGCCGCTTCCTCTGCCGTCGCTGGTGGCATCATCAGGCTGCTCCCACCGCACCACCGGCGGGTTCTGTCTCACCAACCGACAGCAATGATGGCAACTAGGCGCTCATATGTCCCATTCAAACTTGTCCTGTTTTTTTGTCTTTTTTTGTGCATTTCCAGCAAGCTTTGAGGGATGGCATGTGCCCCATGAAATCTTGCCCAGTTTGTTTTTTTTTGTGTTTCCAGCAAGCTCTAAAGGATGGCATGTCCCATACAAAACTTGTCCTGCGTTCTTGTTGTGTTCAGTCCTAAATTGACTTGTCCTGTGTTTTTGTCTTTTTTTCCTGCGTGTTTCCAGCAAGCTCTGAGGGACGTGCACGGGTTTTGGAAGCGGTTGTTGCTGGCGTGCGTGGAGGGGGGGCGGGCGGAGGCTCGACCCTTGGGGTTGGTTCCCGGCGGCATGGAGACCTTCGGTGAGTGGAGGCGTTTTGATGGCACGGGGGAGAGGAGTACTCGACGCTGTGTTGTGGGCATAAGAGGTTTTCAATGAGTGCAAGCGGCTTGATGACAAGCGAGGTGTTGTTGCTTTGGGCGTGGAGGCTTTGGGTGAGCGGAGGCGTCTGAATGACAGGGGGTGGGAGTTCTCGACTGCTTTGACTTGTTTGCGTTGGGCAAGGAGGCTTTGGTGGGTGAGTGGAGGCGTCTGCATGACGAGGGTACTCGATCGCTGTGATTTGCTCGCGTTGGGCATGGAGGCTGGAGGCGTCTGGATTTCAAGGAGAGGGAAGTGGCGGGCGCTATATTGAATACGCCCACCGTTCGTGTTTATGCTTCGATGTTGCACGAGCTACAAACACGTCGATTTCTGATGAATGCTGCTCAAAGTCATTTCATGTATGCTGTTATTTTGCTCAACGCCCCC